ATTCTCTTTGCATACAAAATTTAAGATCAATTCCCTTTTTAATAGAAAATTTGCGATAAATTTTTATTTTATAAAATTTAGCGATCAATTCTCTCTTAATTGAAAATTTGCAATCAATTCTCTATTTATATAAAGTTCGCGATCAATTCTCTCTTTATACAAAATTTAAGATCAATTCCCTTTTTATAGAAAATTTGCGATGAATTCTCTCTTTATACAAAATTTAAGATCAATTCACTTGTTTATTGAAAGTTTTCGATGAATTCACTCGTTATAGAAAATTTGCGATCAATTCTTCATTTATATAAAAATCGCGATCAATTCTCTATTAATACAAAATTTAAGATCAAATCCCTACTTATAGAAAATTTGTGAGGAATTCTCTCTTTATAGAAAGTTTACAATCAATTTTCATTATCAAAAAATCGCGATCAATTTTCTGTTTATAGAAAATTTTCGATGAATTCTCTTATCTTCATTTATAAAAAAATTAGCGATCAATTTGCGATGAATTCTCTCTTTATACAAAATTTAAGATCAATTCCCTTTTTATACAAAATTTACGATGAATTCTCTCTATACAGAAAATTTTTAATCAATTCTCTCTTTATAGAAAACTTTGAATCAATTTTCTTAATAAAAAAAATCGCGATCAATTATCTCTTTATACAAAATTTAAGATCAATTCCCTTGTTTATAGAAAATTTGCGATTAATTCTTTATTTATATAAAATTCGCGATCAATTCTCTCTTTATACAAAATTGAAGATCAATTCTAAAAAAAATTTACGATCAATTGTTCCTATATAGAAAATTTGCGATATAGAAAATCTACGATTAATTTGTATTTGCGATCAATTTTTTCTTTATAGGCAATTTATATAAAATCGCGATCAATTCTCTCTTTAACAAAAATTATGCACTTTATACAAAATTAATGATCAATTTGCTATTTATAAAATAACTATTAATTCTCTATTAGTTGCTAAATTAGCAATTAATAGAGAATTCAATTCTTTTGTTAAAATCTGGCAGCTTTTAAAATTAAACTTTTTATTCATAAAAATTTTTTGCCAATTCTTAATATTGTTTTCTTCATTTCTTTCTTTTATAAACATGATTGTTCTTTTCTTTAGACAAAAAAAAAAAAAAACTTTGATCTTTAGCGCTTCTTCTCTTCTGTTAAGATCTTATCAAATCACATGTGTCACATGTTTTGGTTAATTAGGAATAGATGTTATATTCAGTCTGCTTAATGATATTTTAAATAATTTCAGCAGAAAGAAAAAAAAAAAACAAAATCATAAAAAATCTCTAAACAAGCAGCCAATCAGACAAGTCATTCAATTTTGTATTTATGTATTAATAATAATAATAATAATTTGTTAAAAATTGTTGTGATTAGTTAATGATCTTTTTTTTTTGTGTTTTGAGTTTTTATTATACAATTATTAATTGATTTCGTTTTAATTGTTGCAAATTAAATGATTAAATCAAATTTGTATTGTTTTTTTTCTTGTTGTTGTATATAATTTATAAACAGTTTTTATATTTGAACTGATTTCAATTATTAAACCTGAAAATGTTTATAAAAAAATACAGATCGATTGCTATTTTATAATAAAAATTATGTTCGTGTTTTTTTTTTTGCAGTTTGTATGTTTTTAGTGGCGCCACTTAAAGTTATTGAAGAAATTCAAGTAGTCATTAGAGTGTATTGTAGTTTAAAGTGGAAGTACTGGAACTGGCATAAGGAGAATTTTAGAAATCTCCTACATAAACAAATTATTTCAAAAAAATAAAGTTTTATTTTGTAATTTTTCTACAAAAATACAAAAGTTTTCAGTTTAATGCGGTAGATTTTAGAAAATCTATGAGAAATGTTGTTTCAATCTAGATATCAAATTTATGTTGTAGGGTATTTTGATTTTTTTAAATAATATTTTTTTTTCTTGTATATTATTGACTACTGTTTTATCTCCATCTATTGTAAGTGGTATGAAATGGTACTCACCACAATTAAAACCACAACGTCATGTTAGATTGATTTCTTAGTTTTTTTTTCTGTATTTTTGATATGAACAATTAAATGTCTCCATTAGGAATGAAGTCTCTTGTTAATGATATTTATGTATATGTACTTAATACTATTATAAATTCATACATTTATGAAGTTAATAACAAATTAATATAATCGGAGATAAAATTTCATAGTTGTAGTGTTAGAGTTGGAGTATGGAGTATGAATCACTTTTTTTAAACTAAATTTGAGAGAAAATTTTTAAATTGAAATTAAAATTATTACGTTAAGAAACATTTTGATATCCAATTGCAATTCCTGAAAATCAATCACTTTTAATCGTGATCGATTGCCAATTTCTGATCAATACTATAATTATAGAAAATTTTCAATCAATTCTCTCTGTCTTTCTCTATACAACATTTTGCGATTAATACTCCATTTTTAAAAAATTTGCGTTCAATACTCAATTAATAGAAAATTTGCGATCAATTTCCTATTTATGGAAAATTTGCGATCAACACTATCTTTATACAAAATTTGCGATCAGTACTTAATTTATAGAAAATTTGCCACCAATACTCTATTTATAGAAAATTTGCGATCAATACTATATTTAAAGAAAATTTGCAATCAATTCTCTATTTATAGAAAAATTGCGATCAATATCCATTCATAAAAAATTTGCCATCAATTTCCTATATATGGAAAATTTGCGATCAACACTCTATTTATACAAATTCTCTCTTTATATTTATTTATACAAAATTTACAATCAATTCTCTCTTTATACAAAGTTTGCGATCAATACTATATTTAAAGAAAATTTGCGATCAATTCTCTCTTTATATAAAATTTACGATCAATTCTCTCTTTATACAAAATTTGTGATCAATTCTCTATTTATAGAAAAATTGCGATCAATACTCCATTCATAGAAAATTTGCGATCAATTTCCTATTTATGGAAAATTTGCGATCAATACTCTATTTATACAATCTTGACGCTCAATTCTCCATTTATAAAAAATTTGTGATCAATTCTTTATTTGTAGAAAATTTGCGATCAATACTCTATTTATATAAAATTGCGATAAATTTCCTATTTATAGAAAATTTGCGATCAATACTCTACTTATAGAAAATTTGCGATCAATTCTCTCATTATACAAATTTGCGATCAATTTTCTCTTTATACAAAATTTGCGATCAATTCTCTATTTATAAAAAAATTGCGATCAATATCTCCATTCATAGAAAATTTCCAATCAATTTTCTAATTATGGAAAATTTGCGATCAACACTCCATATATATACAAAATTTAAGATCAATTATCTCTTTATACAAAATTTGCGATCAATGCTTTATTTGTAGAAAATATGCGATCAATATTCTATTTATAAAAATTTTGCGATCAATACTATATTTAAAGAAAATTTGCGATCAATTTTCTCTTTACACTAAATGTGTGATGAATTCTCTATTTATAGAAAAAGTGCGATCAATCTCTTTATTTATAGAAAATTTTCGATCAATACTCTATTTATATAAAATTTGTGATCAATTTCCTATTTATGAAAATTTGCGATTAATTCTCTCTTTGAACAAAATTTTCGATCAATTCTTTGTTTAAATAAATTTTGCGATCAATTCTCTCTTTATACAAAATTTTCGATTAATTCTCTGTTTAAAGAAAATATTCAATCAATTCTCTATTTGCTTTTACGCTTAATTCTCCCTTTATACAAAATTTGTGATCAATTCTTTATTTGTAGAAAATTTGCGATCAATGTTCTATTCATAGAAAATTCACGATCTATTTATATAAAATTTGCGATCAATTCTCTCTTTATACAAAATTTTCGATTAATTCTCTGTTTAAAGAAAATATTCAATCAATTCTCTATTTGTAGAAAAATTGCGATCAATACTCTATTCAAAGAAAATCGGCGATCAATTCTTTATTTATGGAAAATTTGCAATCAATTTCTTATTTATGAAAAATTTGCGATCAATATTCTATTTATACAAAATTTGCGATCAATTCTCTCTTTATACAAAATTTGCAATCACTTTCCTATTTATGGAAATTTTGCGATCAATACTCTCTTTGTACAAAATTTTCGATCAATTCTTTATATAAAATTTACGATCAATTCTCTCTTTATAGAAAATTTTCGATCAAAACTTTATTTATAGAAATTCTGCGATCAGTTCATTATTTATAGAAAATATTGATTCAATTCTCAATTTGTAGAAAAATTACGATCAATATTCTATTCATAGAAAATTTGCGATCAATTCCCTTTTTATACAATCTAGATCTACAGGATCTACATAATTTAAGGAACATAATATGTTCCACTTTCAAAAAATTGCTCAAATATCGGATCAATTATAGTTTCCATCAAAAATGAGAAACCTAAGATCGACGGTAGATCTGTGAAAATTTATGATCACTTCAATAAAAACGGAATTTTATATGAAAAACCTAAAAACAGCTGTAGATCGTAGAGGAGAAAATTGCTTTCCTCAACACAATTGTAGATCAGCAAATAACGATCTAATGTTAACTCAAAATGGATTTTTGTATGAAAAGCTTTTACATCGACAGTAAATCGTTATTGAAGGAGAAAAAACAAAAAAAAAAAAAAAATGAATTTGTATATAAAAAACTAATTCTAACTTATATTTTTCTTCAAAAAGGAAAAATCTAAAATTGTCTGTGGATCCTTTAAATACGCTCCAATTGAGAAAATATCAAATTATAGATTCGAATAAAAAAATAGCGCTTCAATTGAGGAACACTGATAGGGAAATGTATGATTTACTCATATAGTTTTCGAATCGTTACCAACTTTAGGTTTCAAATCTCATCACTTAGTTTAAGATTATTTTTTATAATTTGAAATTTTATTATAATTAAAAACATTTAGTTTCAAGTTTTTTAAACTAATTTTGTTTCTCTCTCTCTTTACAGATCCAGACATCTCAAGCCCTCATAAACAAAATATTTCTCTTCATAAACTTACGGAAACGTTTTTATAAAAATGTTTATCAAATTGCAATGTTAAAAATAATGTATAAAATTAATAAACTTATTGATAATGGATAATTAATAAGAATTTTAAGCAAAAAAAAAATTTTTCCACATTTAATGCTAAAACAAAAGTTAAATTAAACAATAATTATTAAATTAAAACAAGAAAAAAATAAGTAAAATTAAAAAAAATAAATAAATAAACAACTCAATAAATAAAATGGAACCTCAATTACAATTAAATATTATTTTATGCCTAATACTGTCTATGTGGCATGTTTATGGTGATGAACAATTATATGGTAAGTGTTTAATTATTTTAAAATTTTTTTCTCTAATAAGAGTTTAGTAAAAAGAGGTGTGGAGATTAAGATATAAATATTTACAAAAGTTTAGTTTAAATGAAAATCTTTCTAACTTTTTATAAATATGTTTACAAAAGCTTAATGCTGAAATATGTTAAGTCATAGAAACATAATTTTAAAATTTTTTATTAAGGAAAATATCATTTCTTTTTACTTTTAGAAACTTATTAAATTATTAAAAATTGTTTTGATTCAGTGTGAGTTATCATATTTTGCCTATAAGCAGACCAATGATATATTTCTAATTAACAGCCTTAATTAAAATACTCTTTCTTTAAGCTGAAACGGATCTAGAAACTATTTAACAATTATAAGAAAAAATAAAGTTAATTGACGACCTTGTCAATAGAAATAAATTTAAAAAAAAAAATGTATTTTAAATTATAGTGACACCGAGTCAATTCAAAATTTAACAACAAAAACAATCACTGACCAAATTAAATAAAGTTTTCTTTGAACCACTTAATGTGGGGGTGTAAGTAAATCTAAAATCCTCCATTAATGTTGACCAATTTTAGTTTGTTTTTTCTATAGAATTCTATAGAAATTAACTCATAATGATGCCATAATAAAGATTTATTTTTTTTTTTAGTATTTAATTGTTTTCAAGTTTTGTTCAATTTTTTTTTGTTAAACTGCAACAATGTTGTACATTTCGTAATATGATCTTATGAATTTGTTTAGCCGTAATAATACTGACTGACATGTCCAAGTTTAGCCATTGCAATCAATCAAAAAAAAAAAAAAATTCATTGTTTGAGTGGAAACTAAAGTGGTTTCTTTTATAAGTGTGAAATAAATATAAAAGAAAAGAATTACAAGTGACATAACAAGACTATAAACATGTTAATGTTGTCTTAACTGTAGCATTTATGTGTTTCGTAATATGACCCTTTGGAAGGTAAATACAAAAAAGTCATTGCAAAAACCTTAAGAAGGTTATAAGAACATTGTAAGATTTTTGAATTTTGAAAATTACAGTTACAAAAGCGTAAAATATAGAATCGGTTATGCCTTCCCGAAGGTGTTGTATCATTGTAATTGCACGATTATCTCCCACCGGGGGCATGTTACCTTGATAAAAGACCCTCATCTTGATGTTATTGCAATAACGGGGAAAAGAGGTGCTACCAATAGCTCTAGTCTGCCGGGACTATAAACTGGTGTTGATCAAGTGTATCCTCGGCCTTTCCTTAGAATGATTTGACATGGGGTCGAAACAGAGAACCACATAATCTGGTACCATGGAAACCGGTAGACCACAGGGCAGGTACCTGGAGAGAGGTCCCTTCGGGATAAATGTAGTGACTGTGGTTTAAACCCATATTCGCGGGAGGAGAATAATAGTTAAAAGACTTATGCACGGTAAAGTCTTTTATTCGCCATAAGTTCGATGCTATAGTCGAGACAACAGGTACTCCTCAGAGGAACCCCCCCCCCCCGGGCATGTTTCCTTGATGAAAAACCCCCATCTTGGTGTATTTCAATTTCACGTTAAAGAGGTGCTACCAGTACCTCTAGTCTGCGGGACTCCTCGGCTAGTCCTTGAAATTATTTGACATGGGGTCGAACCAGAGATCCCATAATCTGGTACTACGGGTGGCCAGTTGCCCGCAAAACTTGTCCTGGCTGGTCAGTTGGTTAAGGTTTCTTCGGGAACCACATAATGGCAGTGATTTAAACCCAAATTCGCGGGAAGAATAAGTTGCAGTTAAAAGACTGATGCACTGTGAAATCTATATTACGGGATAAGTTCGGCGCTGTTGCCGAATGACAATAGATACACCAAAGAGGAGTGACTGTGGGACTAAGCGTTGGAATGAGTTGGTGTTAATTGTATATGATACAGGATGAATGTAGGGGTATACGGAACTCATCCGCCCGTATTCCTAAAGTAAGTCTGTCGTATGTTGTTCTCTGAGAAGTGTTCAGGGTTGAATGTTGATGAATGACGTAAGTGATACCATTGAATTTTCTTTGCTTGTTCAGATACGTTTAGAGTATACTCTGTTCATACCAGATTTACCACAGTGTGTCACTGTGAGTAAGAACAATGACTCGGCTTATCTGATGGATTCATACTTCGGTTTTCTTGGTGCTGTTGCCGACTCAACAGAGGTCATCCTAATTCCAATATCGGAAGTTAAGCAACGGAGCAGCAACGTTCAGAGATTATATAGCTCAAGTAATTGAGCAAAGTGCACGTATACTGGGCCGGAAATTCAATATACGTAAATTGCCACCTGCGTGTAAGAAGAGCAATGTGGCGGTGGTGAGTCGTCCCTGAAGCTCAACCAGTAGTTGAAAAAGACCACCGTGAAATAGGCCAACACGGCAGGTGTTCACGTAATGCACTCGACATTAACTCCTTAGAGGATTGATGTTGGAAAGTTGGTGTTGAGCGTATATAATACACTCATTAATGAATGTGTCGGATAAATGAGAAGGTTGCTGGATTGAATGGTGATGGATGTAAGGTATCTTATACAAGTGATAACATTGAATTTTCCTTCCTTGTCCGGGTATGTTCAGGGTTAAATCTGTTCTGTACCAGATTTACGACAGTGTGTTCTATGTGAGTAAGAACATGATGGATTACTGTTTTGGTCTACCGATTACGTCTCTACGTGCTGTTGCCGACTCAGCAGCGGCTATCCCATCTGCTTGTTTGTAATCGAAAGTGATGTTTTTAAATCTCGGAAGTTAAGCAAAGGGGGAGCAATTGTCAGAGATTAGATTGCTAGAGATACACGAAGGGGCGGATTCGTCAAAAAAGCTCAACTTTTGGATGAAGAAGACCACCGTGAAATTAGGCAGGTGTTAATGTAAAGCAAAAGCACTTCGACCATCTTGCACTATTATCTGAAGATATACATGTTTCGGTAATTATACTTAGCAATGTTTCTTAAGCAGAAATTTTGACTAATGAGATTCACAGAAATGTACGATACTTATATCGACCCGTATAACTAGGTGAAACGAGAAGGAAGAGAGTTATGCTTCCAATGAATGATTTAGATCTTGTAGATTTTAAAATACTGATCATTGATCATAATAATAATATTCAAATATTAAGAATACTTTCAGAGTACAGGTTGTTTTTCACGTAGAGACTATTCTAACTCGATTATCTATTCAGGATTCAGGTTGCACGATCGTCCATACTCTGCAATATTTCACTTTCTTGGTCCTTGGTTGCACGATCGTGAGGGTTTATTAAAGTGTTGTTCATGGATCTTAGTTTTCACATAATACTCCCAAAGTACTGACTTGTTTTCAATTCAGAGATTGTCTCTATCTTTGCAGAATAGTTAGTGAAGTTGGTTTCTCGTTGCACGATCGTCTAAACTCAAATATGTATTTCTCGTGTAATTAGAAAGCTTCGGAATGTGATAGCGATGATTTTGGGATTGTCGTCTTTATTTATTCACAATGGTAAGTGAAGTTCGTTCCAGGTTATACGATCTCCCATACACTTGTTTCTAAAGCACAACTGCCATAGAATAGTCAATCTGCATTTCGCGGAACACATTTGAAAGAACAATCATAATCCTTGACCACTAACACTAATCTTGGGCAGTATCCACTGCATGTGAAAATCTATCTACAGATATTTCAAAACGACCTTCACATAGTCGATTTATCTTTAAGAAGTCTTTATGTTTTCATGATAACGAATCAAAATTTTTCGATAGGGAAGTGTATAATCAGAGACAATGGAGAAAATATTTCTAAATTTTCGCTTTAAGAATATTATGAAATCATAGTGTTTCACACATTGGGGCAGTTGCATAGAAGAGAGCGATAAAAATAGTACAAGTTAGAATATCGGTTCCAGTATAAGTATTCCTGACAGTATAAGAGTGAATTTCACAAAATATTGACCACGCCCACTTAATATACATTATTATGAAAGACCTACTTTTTACGTTATAAAAACTTGATTCAGAAATAGTGTGTTTCTTAGATTCTAATCTTAAGAATAACATTAAACCATATTCATTCATTCTATTTGGACTAAATTGGTTAAAGTGGTAGTTCAATACGCGCAAACAGTCAAAAAGAGGCTAATATGTCTACCTATCACCCAATGAAGCCCAATATAAAAACTAAACACTTCATAAAAGAGTTGCATGGCGGATTTAATTAAAAAATTACATTCCTTTTCATTCCTATATTTTAAAATCTTAATCAACTTCTATATAAAAACTTACATACAAATAATTTTAAATAACTCAATCAATTTAAATAAATTTCCTAGAAAATCAATTTGAAACGAAACAAATCAAATCACACTCACTCACACACCAAGAGTGTGACCCTGTTCACACTTATAAATTTCAATTAATTTAAAACGGATTTAAAAGATTTGTCTAACAATTTTATTCCCCCTTTCTTATGTCTCTTGTAAATGTTAATTAAATTAAATTCATGTTTATTGCAATTCTGTCGCCGATTATGTTACACTTTTGTTGTTGTTGTTGTTTTTGTTCAATTTCTGTTCACTTTAAATTGATTTTAATTTAAATGTTGATGTTAAACATGGGTGGCAACTAAATGTGTGTTTTTTTTTTTAATAAAAATTTATAAAATTTTATTTAAAGATTTATGGCATCTTATAAGTTTAAATTGTTTGCCTGTTTTTTATGTGTGTGTGTATTGTATCTGTATTTATTATTAAAAATACATGCATTAAATTTTTTTTATTTTTTTTTTTCAATTTATCTTTTTTTTAGAATTTATTCATACTCTTACTCTTTTATGAACGATACGCGTATATATGTATAGAGTTTAACGCCAACGTATGATTTGTGTTGTTTATTGAATGACTCTGTTTTTATGAATGAATTTTTTGTTTGTGTTTTTGTCATACATTTTTTTAGTTTTTTTTCTGAAATGGCAATTTTTGCGAATTTATAGCTTTTGGTAGTGTAGACGAACAGATATACATACATCCATATTTATATGTACACATTATTTTTAAGATTAACGAGGGTCGTGTGAGTAAGCCTTCAATATATCTGATGTAGAACTGATCTAGAACTGAACTAGAACTGAACTAGAACTGAATTAGAACTGAACTAGAACTGAACTAGAAGTGAACTAGAAGTGAACTAGAACTGAACTAGAACTGAACTAGAACTGAACTAGAACTGAACTAGAACTGAACTAGAACTGAACTAGAACTGAACTAGAACTGAACTAGAACTGAACTAGAACTGAACTAGAACTGAACTAGAACTGAACTAGAACTGAACTAGAACTGAACTAGAACTGAACTAAACTGAACTAGAACTGAACTAGAACTGAACTAGAACTGAACTAGAACTGAACTAGAGCTGAACTAGAACTGAACTAGAACTGAACTAGAACTGAACTAGAACTGAACTAGAACTGAACTAGAACTGAACTAGAACTGAACTAGAACTGAACTAGAACTGAACTAGAACTGAACTAGAACTGAACTAGAACTGAACTAGAACTGAACTAGAACTGAACTAGAACTGAACTAGAACTGTACTAGAACTGTACTAGAACTGAACTAGAACTGAACTAGAACTGAACTAGAACTGAACTAGAACTGAACTAGAACTGAACTAGAACTGAACTAGAACTGAACTAGAACTGAACTAGAACTGAACTAGAACTGAACTAGAACTGAACTAGAACTGAACTAGAACTGAACTAGAACTGAACTAGAACTGAACTAGAACTGAACTAGAACTGAACTAGAACTGAACTAGAACTGAACTAGAACTGAACTAGAACTGAACTAGAACTGAACTAGAACTGAACTAGAACTGAACTAGAACTGAACTAGAACTGAACTAGAACTGAAGCTAGAACTGAACTAGAACTGAACTAGAACTGACTAGAACTGAACTAGAACTGACATGAACTAGAACTGAACTAGAACTGAACTAGAACTGAACTAGAACTGAACTAGAACTGAAACTAGAACTGAACTAGAACTGAACTAGAACTGAACTAGAACTGAACTAGAACTGAACTAGAACTGAACTAGAACTGAACTAGAACTGAACTAGAACTGAACTAGAACTGAACTAGAACTGAACTAGAACTGAACTAGAACTGACTAGAACTGAACTAGAACTGAACTAGAACTGAACTAGAACTGAACTAGAACTGAACTAGAACTGAACTAGAACTGAACTAGAACTGTAACTAGAACTGAACTAGAACTGAACTAGAACTGAACTAGAACTGAACTAGAACTGAACTAG